CATTTCCTTCCCTCCTCAGACATTCTGAGCATTTGTGATATGCCAGATTATAGCAGTAACAGGTATGTGGGGACAGTCATGAGTGAGGTGGACTTAGTCTTATGTACAATGCGGGACCTAAACTAGTCTTGTGGGGGTTTTGGTTCTATAGTTAATCCTCCCAATAGGGCTAGGGCTAGGGCTAGAGTTAGGTATCATCATTCCTGTTTTACAGATGAGAGGGGAAAAATCAATTTCTTCAAGGTCATGCAACCAGTAAGTGGTAGGATCTAGATTTGAACTCAGATCTGTCCAACTTCTAAGTCTGTGGTGTGTCAGGTGGCCTGGGAGCTGATCTCTACTTTGTTGTTGTTGTTGTTGTTGTTAAGTGCCATCGAGTCAATTACAACCCATAACAACCCTGTATAGGATTTCTGAGGAGCAGCTGGTGAGCTTAAACCATGAACCTTGCAGTTCAAACAGCTTTGCATTCTGGTGCATTAACCTACAGCACTTATTGAGGAGTAAAAGCTGTTCACAGTGACCGGGATATGATAGAAACACACACCATGTACTTAGGATGGGACACAGAATGGATATTCCTACCTAGGGAGGTCCTGGAAATCTTGCTCAGTGTGGCTAGTGGAAGGAGGGCCTTCTTGCCAGAGCCTAACTTTGAGCCAAGGCCCAGGGATAGAGAATTACAGGAAGTATTTGAGGAATAGCAAGTAGGTGAATGTATGCCTGGAAGGCAGGGCGGAGGGAGGTGGGTGGTATGTAGATAAGCCTGGAAAAGGAAATTAGGGCCCAGATTTTAGAATTTGCCTCTGGTCACACTTGGAAGGTTGCATTAGAATGGGTGAGATTTGAGTGCCTCTTTTAAACTGCAGGATAAAAAAAAATGACCTTGTGTCTTCAAATTTGTGAGCTTCATGCTTTGAAGGTGTTTGTAGGGGCTTAGGTTTCAGAATAGGACAACAAATGGCATTTCCTGTGTGGCAATGCCAAGTTGCAAGCTTCAGCAGAGAGTATTGGATTAGCAGTGTTTGCTTGGAATTGTGTGGCGCTGTAGGAAAAGCACTAAACTGGTAATCACAAAGTTGACAGTTCAACTTGTCTGTCCTTGTTTTTAAGTGCTGTTGAGTCAGTTCCAACTCATATCAACCCTGTGTAGGATTTTCAAGGAGCAGCTGGTAGGTTTGAACAACCAACCTTGTGGTTAGCAGTCCAGTGCTTATCTTACAATGCCACACCAGGACTCCTTGCAGTTGATCCCTGGTAACCCTGTGTAGGGTCATTATGAGGCAGAACTGACTTGATGGCATTTAACAACAACAATCACAGCTTGGGATTGTGAGTCTCCACAGAGAACGTTTGATTAACAATGTCTAGTCTGGGTACCTGAAGAGTTGATGGCATAGGAATACCATGGGTTTGCCTGTCTGCCAGGGTTTTCATCAAGCATCAAAACTGCACTCTTTTTTTAAAATTTAAATTTAACGTTTTTATTTTGGATTGAGTGAAAGTTTACAGGGCACATCATCAGCTTCACATTCAACCATTCATATAGCTTGTTTCATTACATTGATTATTATCCCCTCCATATCATCAGTTAACAGTGTTTCTCTCTATCCTCTTTAGCTTTTTTTTTTTTTTTTTGGATAGGGGGGGACTTGCCTTTTTGGAATTTACAGTCTTGGCTTTTAGGGAAGGTTTTTACATTTGTCTGTAGATATCCAGGGCTCATGTATGAGATTACTAACAAGCATTACTGAATAATCAGATGAGGGACAATTTGCTATGTCTACTAGGTAGCTAAAGTCTGATCCTCAGAGCCTATGGTTTGGACGGTCAACAACACTTGGGCCCACAGGGGCTTGGCCTCCTGACTGGGTCTGCACGGTCTGCATCCGAATCCTCCTTATTTATTGCTTGTTTAAGGGACGCTGCCTATCTTAGGTGGTCAGTGCGAATTCCTCAGTCTTACCAGTCATTGAAACTCATTGCAGCATGGCAGTGGCTCTGTCTTAAGTAGCTTAGGTTCCACATGATCCTTACCGGTCTCTGGCCACATGTCCAGCATAAACAGCCGCCATCCAAGGAAGGCAGGGAGGGAGGAGATCGGCTGGGGACCCTATACGCAAGACGTTGCCAGCCCACCTCCTGCTCTAAGGTGACCAAGCAGGATCACTATGCTGAGGTTCAATCAAGTTCTTAGGGGATCTTTTACTCCCTAGCAGGGGTAGCAAATTAGTAGCCACTCAGTGTTCACTTTGAGAATTACTTATATCATAAATTTGAGCATGTAGCTGATGCATATCCACAGACAAGTAAAACTGCACTCTTGAGTGAGATGATTTTGGTTCTTTCTCAACAATTCCTTTCCAGCAATTGTCCCTGCTTGCTGCTGAACCTCCAGGGACCCTGAAGAGAGTAGAACGTATAGGTTTCAGAGCCACCCCGGAGAGACAGTTGCTCCTCAGTAGGCTTTCTAGAATGTGAGTCTGGTAGAATATGAGTCTAAACCAGTCCTAAAAACCGTTTCTGGGGATTCTTTTTTGGGGGAAGGAGGAGGATTTCAGAAAGGTTGATGTGTGAGTATGGGTTTGTTGTTTTTGGGTCTTGCATTTTGCTTCACATCTCTCCAACCACAGAAGTTCTTTATGTGGGGTCTGTGGGCATGTTTGGTAAGGTGGAGGGCCAGAGAAAAAGAGGAAGACTCCCAACGAGATGGATTGGCCAAGTGGCAGCATTGATGGACTCAAGCGTGGCAACAGTAGTGAGATTGGCCCAGGATCAGGCAGTGTTTCGTTCTGCTGTGCATAAGGTTGCTATGGGTTGGTATCGACTCAATGGCACCTAACAACAACAACAATGGATACAATTCAGGCTCCCATGAACTTGAGTTGGGGGTGGGGGTGAGGCAATGGCATCTTTATATTCATTAACCTTAATTGAAATTTAGCATATGGCTCAATTTTGAAAGGACCCCTAGTTGCTCAATGGACTAGACTTTGGGCTGCTAACCTCAAGGTGTTGGTGGTTCAAGCCCACCAGCCACTCTGAGGGAAAAAGATGGAGGCTATCTGCAGCAATAAAGATTCACAGTCTCAGAAGCCCTATGAAGCGGTTCTACTCTGTCCTATAGAGCCCCTAAGGGGAAGAATCAACTCCATGGCACTTGGTTTGGATTCTGTTTTGAATGCAAGCAACAAGGTCTTAGCAAGTCCCTGTGACTTGTTCACTAGTTGGAATTACAGCTATGTTCATGTCATATGATGGTATGGATATTTGAAAATAAGTAGTTTATATTTGTTATGACTTCAAAATTATGATAGCTGTTAGACCCACTGCTTGATCTTACTATTGAATGCTTTAAAAAATACGCTTTTATTGCTCTGTTGTTGCTGTTAAGTGCCGTTGAGTTGGTTCTGACCCATAGCAACCCTGTATAGGGTTTCTGAGGAGCGGCTGGTGAGCTTGAACCTCTGACCTTGTGGTTCAAATGACTTCGCAGTCCAGCACATTAACCCACGGCACCCAAATCAGCCTTGGGATGATGCCCTCCTTTCACACCTTGCAGGCTGTGTGTTCTTCAACTCAGTTCTGGGCATCTGGTGTTTTGAAAAGAGTCTACCAGACTGATTTGAGTTGTATTGTAATTCTAGCCAGGTTTAACTTGTTTTTTTCATTGAGGGTTTAGTGGCAGAATCGTTGCCTTCTGTGGGGTTTTGAGTCAATTCCCAACCAGTGTACTTCATGTGTAGTTACTCCCTGTCCCTCAGTGGAGGCTTGTCTGGTAGTTATGATGCTGAACAGGTTTCAGCAGAGTTTCCAGACTAAGAGAAACATGGAAGAAAGACCTGGCAATCGACTCCCAGCTGTCAGCCAATGAAAACCCTTTGGATTACAACAGTCCATTCTACACGTAATCATGCAGATGGTGCAGGACCCGGTGGCCTTTTGTTCTATTGGGTCTCCTTGAGTCAGGGGCCAACTTGATGACAGATAACAACAAAGCTTTTGAAGCTTTTGACACCCACCCCTGGGAAATGCACAGACCCACAACCCTGAAGTTTGACCCAAAGTCTAGGACCCTTATCAGTACTGCCAAGCACAGTCGTGTGCCAGATGCTTCCTATGAATTTTCTCATTTCATCCTCTCATCCTCCCTCAGAGGAAGGATCTATTAGTCTCCCTGTCTCATAGAGGAGGAAAACGAGGCTTTTCTGGGGTTGGTTAGCAACTTGTTTGGAGCCCCTGGATGGCACAAATGGTTATCACACTCAGCTGCTACCCAAAAGTTTGGAGGCGTGTGTCCATCCAGAGGCACCTTGGAAGAAAGGCCTGAAAACTCAGCCATTGAAAACCCTATGGAGTACATTTCTACTCTTACAAACACGAAGTCACCATGAGCCAGAGTGACTCCATAGCAGCTGGTTAGTGACCAGTCAAAGGTTACAGAGCCAAGGTGTAACTGATTCGAGATTGGTAACATCCTAGGTGGAAGATTCTCCATCAGACCCAAATCCCCATATCTTCCATACTGTCAGCACTCCTGCCCCCTCAAAGCCAGAGTCCTTCTTCTATTTAACCTGGTGTTCTGCTCTGACCCGTCTTGCACATTGACACAGTGATGGTCATGGGTGTGAGGGTGGAGAAGGGGTTGGTGGGTAGCTGTCCAGACTCTCTGCTGACTTGCTCTGCTGACCATTCTCCCTCCCTCCTCCCTGTTTCCTGCTTCACATTCTTCGAACTACAGCAGAGGGGAATCCGACAGGGTCCTCCCTCATCATCACACAGCTCTGGGTGGGTTGAGCTTCCGTGTAGCGGTCTCAGCGCTGCCATACGTAAGGGCCATGACTGAATCGGCCTTTTCCTTCCTGGACTTCCCACAGGCGAAGCTGGTCCGCTACATTTGCAAGCAACGGCAGTGCAAGCTGAGTGTGCCCCCTGGCAAGAGGACCTCAGAGCTCAACAGCTACCCCCGCTTCAGTGACTGGCTGTACATCTTCAATGTGAGGCCGGAGCTGGTGCAGGTATGGGGCCTGGGACTCAGGCCAGGGTGGGGGCATGAGGGGTCAATGAATGGAGGCAAAGGGATGACACACAAATCTGAAGGCTAATTTCACCCTGGTTAAGACTCAGGTCAGTCAGGAGGTACAACGCTGTGTGTGATAGGATAATATCCATGCGCCTAAAGGGAAGACCAGTTAATACCACTATTATTCACATTTACGCACCAACCACTAAAGCCAGTGAGGATGAAATAGAAGAATTCTACCAACTTCTTCAATTAGAAATTGTTCAAACATGCAACCAAGATGTATAGATCATTACTATTGATTGGAATACAAATGTTGGGAGCAAAGAGGAAGGATCAGTAGTTGGAAAATATAGTCTTGGTGATAGAAATGATGCTGCAGAATGCATGATAGAATTCTGCAAAATCAATGATTTGTTCATTTCAAATACCTTCTTTAGATAGCATAAGAGACGTTTATACACATGGACCTCACCAGATTGAATACATAAACTTCAAATTGACTACATCTGCAGAAAGAGATGATGGAAAAGCTCCATATCATCAGCCAAAACAAGGCCAAAGGCAGGTTGTGGAACTGACTATCAATTGCTCATATGCAAATTCAAACTGAAGCTGAAGAATATGAAAACAAGTCCACGAGAGCCAAAATATGACCCTGAATATGTCCCACCTGAATTTAGAGATCATCTGAAGAACAGATTTGATACATTAAACACTAAAGACCGAAGACTAGAAGAGTTGTCGGATGACATTAAGAACATCATACATGAAGAAAGTAAAAAGTCATTAAGAAGACAAGAAAGAAGGAACAGATCAAAATGGATGTCAGAAAAGACACTAAAACTTGCTCTCCAGCATAGAGGTGCTAAAGCAAATGGAAAAAACGAGGAGGTCCAAGGGCTGAGCAGAAAATTTCAAAGGTCAGCTTGAGAAGACAAAGTCAAATATTACAATAAAATGTGCAAAGATCTGGGGTCAGAAAACCAAAAAGGAAGAACACACTCAGCATTTCTCAAGCTGTGGGAACTGAGGAAAAACTTCAAGCTTCGACTTTCGTTATTGAAGGATTCTCTGGGCAAATTATTGAATGGTGCAGAAAGCATCAAGAGAAGATGGAAGGAATGCACAAGGTCACTGTACCCAAAGGAAATGGTTGATGTTCATCTGTTCCAAGAAGTAGCATGTGATTAAGAGCCAGTGATACAGAAGGAAGAAGTCCAAGGTGCACTGAAGGAATTGACAAAGAACAAGGCACCAGGAATTGATGGAATAAAAATTGAAATCTTTCAAGAAAGTGAGGTGGCACTGGAAACACTCACTCATCTCTGCCAAGAAATTTGGAAGACAACTATCTGGCCAACTGATTGGAAGAGATCTGTATTTGTGCCCATCCCAAAGAGAGGTGACCCAACGGAATGCAGAAATCGTTGGACAATAGCTTTGATATCCCATGTGAGTAAAGTTTTAGTAAAGGCAATACAGAAATGGCTGTAAGCATACATTGACAGAGACCATCCAGAGGTTCAAGCTGGATTCAAAAGAAGATGTGGAACGAGGGATGTCATTGCTGATGTCCAATGGATCTTGGCTGAAATCAGAGAACACCAGAAAGATGTTTACCTGTGTTTTATTGACTACGCAAAGGCTTTCAATTGTATTGATCGTGACAAGCTATGGACAACATTGTGAGGTATGAGTATTCCTGAATACTTAATTGTGCTTATGAGGAATCTGTACATGGACCAAGAGGCAGTTGTTCAAACAGAACATGGGAACACTGAATGGTTTAAAATTAAGAAAGGTGTGCGACAAGGTTGTATTCTTTCACCATACTTATTCAACCTGTATGCTGTGCAAATAACCTGAGAAGCTGGGTTATATGAAGTAAAATGTGGCATCAGGATTGGAGGAAGACTCATTAACAACCTGAGATAGGCAGATGATACAACCTTGCTTGCAGAAAGTGAAGAAGACTTAAAATATTTACAGACGAAGATCAAAGAGCACAGCTTTCGGTATGGATTGCATCTGAATGTCAAGAAAACAAAAATCCTCACCACTGAACCAATAAATAACATTCTTATCAACGGACAAAAGATTAACGTTGTCAAGCACTTCATTCTTCTTTAATCATCTGTCATCACTCATGGAAACAGCAGTCAAGAAATCAAACAATGTATTGCATTGGGCAAATCTGCTGCACAAGACCTTTTTAAAGTGTTGAAGAGCAAAGATGTCAGCTTGAGGACTAAGGTGCCCTGACCCAAGCCATGGTATTTTCAATAACCTCATATGCATGCGAAAGCTGGACAGTGATTAGGGAAGACCATAGAAGAATTGATGCTTTTAAGTTATGGTGTTGGAGGAGAATATTGAAAGTGCCATGGGTTGCCAAAAGAACCCACAGATCTGTGTTGGAAGAAGTGCAGCCAGAGTGCTCCTTGGAGGCCAAGATGGCCAAACTTCGTCTCTCATACTTCAGATATATTGTCAGGAGGGACCAGTCACTGGAGAAAGATATCATGTTTGGTAAGGGTGGAGGGTCAGAGAAAAAAAGGAAGACTCCCAGCGAGATGGATTGGCAAAGTGGCAGCATCAATGGGCTCAAGCATGGCAACAATTATGAGTTTGGCCCAGGATCCAGCAGAGTGTTGTTCTGTTGTACATAGGGTCACTATGAATCAGTACCAACTTAATGGCACCTAACAACAACAACAACAAAAACTAAGGTTGTCTTGCCCTGGAATGCACGCTCCTTGAGGCTGACCTACCTGATCCAGTTCGTTTGCCTTAACATTGCCACTGAGTATTGGGCCTGCTTTGTTGTTAGGTGCCATAAAGTCTGTTTCAACTCATAGCGACCCTATATGGGGTTTCTGAGGAGCAGCTGGTGGGTTGAACTGCTGACCTTGTGCTTAGCAGTCCAGTGCTTATCACACCAGAGGGTCTGATACAGCAGCTGCTTAACTGAGAGAAGTATAGGCTGCAACAAGTACAAACCTATTGCTGTGAGTTGATTCGAACTCATAATTACACTAGAGAACAGAGTAAACTGGCCCCATCAAGTTTCCAAGCCTGTAATCTTTAGGGAAGCAGACTGCCTCATCTTTCCCCCATAGAGTGGCTGGTAGGTTAGAACCACTGACGTTTCAGTTTGCAGCCTGGTGCTTAACTACTGTACTACCAGGGCTCTTAAGGTACACAGATAAACTTTATTCATTTATTGAATGAGTGAATATAGTCATGAAATGATAGATGTCCCCAGGAGCCAATAAGGGTTTAGCCCTGAGTGGGTGGTAACCCAGTTCACTCCAAGCTCTGGTCTTCAGTTTATGTCCTATAAGAGCCACCATTACTGGAGATGCCTGCTGCCCTTCAGCTCACCTCAGCAAAGAGCCTGGGAGTGTTAGTGTCCAGGGGAGAGCACCTTCTCCAGGAAGGTGGGGCAGGCAAAGTGCCCGAGAACGCTCCCCTTGTGACCACACTAATACCCCCATTGCTCCCGGAGGGGTGGAGCATGCTTCTGGGAGCCTGACCTGCCCAGCACTAGGTCCTTGGTGCAGTTAATGGGCTGCAGCGGTGACCGCAGTGGGGTCCAGCCCCTGCTTGGTGCCTCGTGCTGCTCGCTTTACGTCAGAGCTGACACATATAGTGCACTTCTGGCTTCAGTGTCCCAACATTCCCATAAAGCAGATACTGTTTTCTCCATTTCATAGTTGAGGAAGCTAGAGTTTGGAGAGAGGCAGGAATCCCTCACCCCCAGGGTTCCAGAGCCTATGGGGTGCCCTGAATATTGGAGTCCTAACTCTCAGTCACTTCCCTTTGCTCTTGGTGATGCCCAGGTTCTCAGCGAACAGGTCAAAAGCCTCAGTTTCTCTCTCTTGAAGGGGAACTAGCCCGTGCACCACTTGTTCCCCGAGGCGGGAAGTGCTGAGCTAAAGTACTAGAGGCACAATGGTACTCACTGGAGTGGAGAAGGGATAATTAGGCAATTCCCCAGCATTCTCAGCTGATGTAATTCCCTGGGGAGTGCCAGACCCAACAGGCTGAGGGAGGCTCCACGCAAGGAGGCATAGTTCAAGAGGAAGCCCAGGATCCTGGGCTGGGCACAGGCAGTTTTCTGAATCATGAGAGGCAGTAGGAGTCAGCCTAGGGCTTGAAAGAACAAGGGCGACTATCCACCTCTTTGGTGCTAAAGAAGGCACTGGCATTCCTTACCTGCAAGGTGAGCCGGAAATAAACCTGGGGGAAGGTGGTGGGCATGAGGAGGGTGGGCCAGTCTGAGTCTGTATGAGGGCACCAGGCTGCTTTCTGGGTGGGTTTTAAGAAACTTGAAGAATATTGAATATTTAGCTTCCCCAAACAAAGTCTCTAGGCCTCATTTCTCAAGACTTCTCCTAGTTAGGACCAGAGTCATCTGAAGGTGGTTTCCATTAGTAAACCTAGCTCCAACCTCATCTGACTGGGGAGGGTGGCTGCTTTCATTCTGCTCTGATTTTTGGAGTTTTTCCTTGTACATGTGTGGGAGCACAGCAGTGGGGAATAGGGGGCCAGGGGGGTTTCCCGGACCACCGTTCTTCAAGTGTTGGGGGCTTCTGGGGGGTTGAATTTATTCTATTTCTTAGCTATGATGGTGTTCTGATGCTGCCTTGGACACCCGCCTCTACTCATCCCCTTGTTGGAATTGGTTCAAGAAGGTTCTGTTCATCAATCCACTAAGCTACTACCGTCAAGTCAATTCCGACTCAGTGACCCTATAGGACAGAGTAAAACTCCCAGACCCACCGAGACTGTAGATCTTTATGGGAGCAGACAGGCTCATCTTTCTCCTGTGGAGCAATGTTGTTGTTGTTGTTATGTGCCATCGAGTCGGTTCCGACCCATAGTGACCCTGTATAGGGTTTCCGAGGGTGTACATCTTTACGGGAGTACAAAGCCTCATCTTTCTCCCGCGGAGCAGCTGGTAGTTTCGAACTGCTGACCTTAAGGTTC